TATATATATATATATATATATATATATATATATACTTATTTATATTCTTTCCAATATTTATGTTTCTGTAAAAGAAAGGGAATAAAGTAAGATAATATTCATTTTCATTATTAGTTATTATTCACTTATATCATAAGATGTAACGTTAATAAAGCGACATTCGTTTATTCCCTCTTCGAAATTTATGACACCATCATTCATTCCGTTATAATAGGTAGAAAAGCAAACAAAAGACAATGTCCATTAACTTTTATACCTACCACCATACTGTTTCTCGTTATATATTTCTTTTTCACATCTGATTTATTTCTAATAATTTCGAGGTCCAAGATGTAACAGAATTCGAAGAAACTGATAATGTCACATTTTCGACAGACGTTTGGAAGCGTTCGATCCTGCAGGATCCACGAGGCAAGGCGGTGGTCCGTCGAGGAGTATCAGCTGTTCGAATTATTATCGTTGCAGGCGACGGCAGATGTTCACTAGGCTAAAACGCTCCCCCGAAGGCTTTGAACCCGCTGATCTCTTTTCTTTAGAGCGAGTGAAAAACTTTCAAGGAAGCCCAACGTCTCGTCCAATCTCGCACAATGCCTCGTTTCCACAAACGAGTAGGAAACTAACCTAAAAACTGGAAAACAATGAGAACGGTAACGATAAGGATTTAAAAAAATCTACATCTTTTACAAATATTTTACGATACAAATCGTCAGATATTTTCAATTATTTAGATTATAACCTAACTTTTTAACCTAATTTTCACAGGTTTATTTTCGTTTTCGTATCGAAATAAATCGATTATCACTTCGAACGTACGTAAAATATTCGCATAGAAGACGAGCATAGATACTTTTTAACGATCTCGCCGACAATCGTGATGAAGATAACTCGTACCAATCTCCTCTTGGATTTCCCTGACAATCGGTACAACCTCCGTTTCGCAGCATTGTTCGAAACCTGCCGTAAGTTACGTGTCACGAAGTATAGGATATCATCGTCGTCTGCGTTTGAAGGAGACCCCATAGGTTCGTGGCACGCGCTGCCAGCTGCCCCACAGCTGTCTCTCTTCTCCTGTCGTCCCCCATACACGAGGCCGGGGTTCTTACCCGAGCGTAGTGCATTTACCACACAGAACGGGGCCTTTTCGCCTCTGTACATGCATGCGCACCGAATTCAAAACGCGTGTATTTTCGTGGCTGCGTACCTACGTACGTTGTCACGTAGTTGCATACTCGATGAGGTTGGTGCACCCTTAAGGAACGTCGAGGCTCGAAAAAATGAACAGACACTTTTATTGTACTCCTGAATGAGGAGGATACGTCTCCTCCCTTTGACAAATTTTCAAAATGTCTTCTAATATTTCACCTCTCAATGGGCCAACATCTTTGAACTTTCGTCTTAACCTAGTCTTCCTGATCCTCTTCTTGTGGGAATCTCGAGAAAGAAGTTTGTTCCTTTTCTTTTTTTTTTAATTTTACCATCCTCGAAAATAGGAGTTGAAAATTTTAAAATTAATCGTTCGTTCTTTCTTTATCTATTTCGCTAGCGATATTTATGCTTATCGTTAAAACATTCTATAGGGTTTTGCATTTGCGGTTTCCCATCCGGTTCGCCCGACACGCAGGAAATAGTCCTGAAGTGTCCTAGAGGATGCAAGGCTATTAGGTTTCGCGTGGAAAAAAGCGACGTAGAAAAAAAGGAAAGGTGGAGAGGGCGTAAGTGCTTGTACCGTGAAAGTAGAGAAAAGAAAAGAGAAAAAACAAAAACAAAACAAATAAAAAAGGGAAAATCAAAGTACGCACGATGGGGACCGGAAATCCCAGGGCGTTCAACCCTGACACCCGGTATATATTTAGACTTAAAGAGACACACTCTATATCTGATCGTATAGATACCTTCGCGACATTTCTATCGGATGCTGTACAATTTTACACTTAAAACTTGATATTTTCCTGAATCAGTCATTTGCGCACTCGTGTTAAATTTGAATCGAATATTTCGAAAAACTTGCCGATCGATACAATAAATAATGTCCACGTAGTCTCTGAAGAACTGCGCCCATTAGCACGTTGTCGTGATAATATCGACAACTCTCTTACCCCTCCTCGAAAAAGAGTTAACGCTTCCGTGAAGGAAGTTGATCGTTTCCTATTTGCTTATTGCATAATCGCGCACGCAATGTTGTACCAGTATATCGAGCACCACCCCCCTTACACGTCACGTTTCAAAATAACCAAGTAACCCATAATTTTTACACGTTTTAAAACGTTTGTTGCGGATTTTATAATATTTTAATGATATAAATGACGATACAAATACGATATTGTTAAAAATTTTCACTTCTTCGCATGATATACAAACAAATTTAATAACCTATAATTTTTACGCGTTTTAAAACATTTGTTGCGGATTTTATAATATTTTAATGATATAAATGACGATACAAATACGATATTGTTAAAAATTTTCACTTCTTCGCATGATATACAAACAAATTTAATAACCTATAATTTTTATACGTTTTAAAATGTTTGTTGCGGATTTTATAATATTTTAATGATATAAATGACGATAGAAATACCATATTGTTAAAAATTCTTTTCACTTTTTCGCATGATATACAAGT